GATATGAGATATGAATCCAACTCCGGAGCTTAAGCGTTTTCCCAGGGCCACACAGCACAGCAGCCCACAGTGCTCCGACTGCCCGAGCGAGTCCTATCCCCAGGACTGCAAGGATTCCTCCTTATGAGCCCCGTGCCAGGTTCCAGATGCTGGAGAGCAGGAAGCTTGGGCGGAGAGTCCCCTGGTCTCTTGGCACCTCCAGCTCTGACGTTGGACGGCTCGTAGTGTCAGATGGGAGTTGTGCCCCCTGGGGTCGTGCAAGGACAAGGGCTCAGACAGCTGGAAACAGACCTGCCAAGGCCACAGGAGTCTGCCGAGAGGGTGGCAGTGCTTGGAAATGTGTGTCTGTCTACTTCCAGGAGATGTAATCTGTTTCCTGTGGGTCAAAGGGTACAAACGAGGCACCTGCCACTTGGAGCAACCCCAGAGACACCCAGTAGACTACATTTCCGAGGATACTTTATACCTCTGGAAACCAACACGCACGTGCACACACGCTCACACCCTCGTACACTCCATCGCCCCCTCTTGCACTGTTCTGGGCTCTCCTGCTCCCTCTGAACTGTCTATGGTCCTGGGGTCCATTCCTAATCAGCCCGCAGAAAGCTCATTTTCTCTCCACTGCACAGGGCAAGGAGGGACTTCGAACATTTCTGGATTTAACGGGCCCCCTTGGAGAAGAAGGCACCACAGCTAGGCTGATGGGTCAAGCTGAACAGGACGGGGTAGGGTGAGGTGGGATAGGAGGTCTGCATCCCCTGGGGCCCCCAAACCAACTGCGCAGTTTGCTCACAGCTGGATGTGGACTCTCTGATGAGTTTCCTCTGGGGTGGGTGAGGGAAAGTGACCCAGACAGCCCAGCCCCTTCCAATCCTCACCTGGTTTCCCCATTAGAGTAACTGGTTCATTCTGGTTTATTCCACCCTGTTCTAGTTTTATCACTGAATCCTCTGTCCCAGGCAAAGTAGGATGATTGGTCAGTGTCACCTCAGGAGGGGGATTAAGGGACTCAGCTGCCCGGGGGAGCATGTTGGGCCCAGTAAGGACCTGGGGGACCTGGTCTCGTGTGCTGGGAAACAGAAAAGCCAGAGGGAACAGTCTATGTGCTCTGGGCTCCCCCGGGGTCAAACAAACACACTCGGTGAAAGCTTCTCAAAGACAGATTTGAGTTCCACCCAACAGAAACCCTAAAAGCATCGGATCTGTCCAGCAAAGGAGCGGGCTATCTTGAGGGATGGTTAGCGTCCACCCTTCCTATCCCTAGGCAGAACCACCCAGCAGGCATGCTGTGGAGGGGACCCCATCCCAGATCATGTGAGCCCCTGCTGAGGACACTCTGTAGTCTCACCACCCCGTCTTCTCCAGCCGCCCACACCCCATCCAGCCCCTGGCTGCTTCTCAGACGTCACCTGCGCCCCCTGGCTCCGGAACACTGGTCTCTCTGCTCTGCTTTGAACGCTGAGGGCACATTCCTGCCTCCGAGGTCTTTGCTCATGGTGTTTCCCCAGCCTGGCTTGTCGTGCCTTCCCTCCGCTCTAGTCTCCTTAGCGAGGTCCCAGGCCGTCCCATCTGAAGTGGTCCCCGTCCTTTCCCCCTGCATTCCCTTCTGTGTAACGCTTACTGCCAGTGGAAGGTGAGCTCCATGAGGGCAGGAGTCTTTGTCTTGTTCTAGAGCCTAGAACAGTGCCTGGCACATAGTGGTGCTCAGTTAGTTGAACGAATGGAGGATTTCAACTCCGGGATTCCATGAGACCTTGATGGCAGTTATGAGAATCGCTTGTTCGGCGTTTGGTTGGTGAGAACCAATGGGCATTTGACCCAGACCTGCCCTCAGGAGTAAGGCGGGGGAGCGCAGCTGTGACTCTTGCTCACTGCCACACTGCAGGGCAGAGTGGTCTGGGCACAAGGACTGTAGGTTATGCCTCAGAGTTCCTGTGGGCACTTCCTGGAGGAGGTGGCGTTACAGAGGGGCCTTGAGGTGAAGGGTTCTATAGGAGGGGGAGCGTCACACGGAGAGGGCAAGGGCTGAAGCTGGCGAGCAGGCTGTACCCAGACAGCGGTGTGCAGAGCCAAGTGCCTTTGGAGGTGGTGGGAAGGGTGGGCGGGAAGGTAGGGAGCAAATTCACTCAGAGAAGTGGATCTTAGGCAGGCTTTCCCGTCAGAGCCCTCAGGACAGGTTAGCCGGGAAGAAAGAATAGTCAAGGCGACTGGCGCCTGGAGTGGGAGGGAGAAAGAGCAAGCGGTCCGTTTGGGATTAGTAAGGACCCCCAAAGATGCTGATGCTTGGGCTCTGCCAAAGCCAGCACTTCCTGTTCTATTGGGTGCCGAATGCAGCCCGGCCCCAGGGCTCCTCTGCTGGCAGGGTGACCCCACCTGCCTTCGGGCTGCACCCTGGCCTGGCTCTGCGGCTGGGAGGGGCGTTTAATTGTCTCGGCTCCTCCATCCTGCCCAGCAGCCCTGGGCACCAGCTGTCTGCAAACCTTGTGTCTGGTCCGCTCTCCTTGGTCCCAGCCAACTGCTTTCCTCCCCAGCAGGTAGCATTTGGTGGCTCTCCCCCACCGAGGGTCTGTATATCTGGTACCGCAGATGGTGTGGCTTTGTCTGTGGGCAGCGCCATGGAAATGCCAGCCACCGGCACTGTCTGAGATTGATTCCCTTTCCCTCAGATCCAAGTCTTTCATGTATGTCCCTGGGGGCTCGAGGTAGGCTGGAGGGGACAATGACATTGCCTCTGTGCTCTTACCCAAGCCATACTCCCTCTCTCTCAGCTAGTGCCCCTCAGCACCCCTAAAATTCAAGATCACTACGGCTGTGGGCAGATGGACTCAGCACCCGCAGGCTAAGGCCTCCGAAATCTCACGATCGCTAATACTGTATCTTTATGTCACCTGTCCCTAGAGATCACACACAGCAGGGGTGTGTGTGGGTGAAGATGTAGGTCTCACCGCCTGGCATGGCTTCCCTGTGTGGAGGGCAAGGGTGGCGTTTCGGGGTGGTTGGTTTGATTGATTAGCAGGAAAGGAAAGAAATGAAGACAAATTTGTAAACCATCCCGAGGAGCTGAAATCCTGTTGCTGTCCTTCCTCTTTCCCATCCCTATGTGCCCCCCACCCCCATCCCCGCAGTAGGAGGACTCTGAACCCCTCCGACACTGCGGATCTCTGGGCCCTCGTGGGGAGGGGCCTTGGTACGCGGGGAGGGGCCTTGGTACGCGGGGAGGGGCCTTGGTACGCGCAGGAAGGTAAGGATGCCTTGCAGACCTCGCTGTCCCTTTGTCACCTGCCGCAGGCTCCCTCAACCTCCTAGTGCGGTCCCGGAACAAAGGGGCCCTGGACACGCACGCCTGGTCCCTCAGCGGCAATAAGGGCAACGTGTGGCAGCAGGCTCACGTGCCCATCAACCCCAGTGGGCCCTTCCAGGTGAGACGCTGGGCCCAGGCCCGGGTGGTCACCCTGCCAGGAGGCACTTCCGGGGCCTTGGGTTTTTCCTCGATGTGGGGGGGGGGTGTTTGTGCCTGGCAGAACCTCACTGACTCCTCTGCCTCTCCCACTCTCTCACCGCCCCCCAGATTATTTTTGAGGGGGTTCGAGGCTCGGGCTACCTGGGGGACATTGCCATAGACGATGTGACGCTGAAGAAGGGAGAGTGTCCCCGGAAGCAGATGGATCCCAGTAAAGGTGCAGAGTGGGAAGGGCCGAGGGGCTGCCTGTGGGCTGCGGGGGAGGGGTTCAGAGGCCCTGGGTGGTGGAGCAGCATGCGGTCTTAGGGTATGAACTCGCGCCCACCCTGAGCCAGGCACGGGGCACCCCAGCCACCCTCCTCTGAGGAGTACTGAGTCGTCTTACACACCTCCTGTGCCTGGGCCTCAGTACCCCTCTGTGGCTCCAGGTATGGACCTGTGCCTTCCAGGGGCCGCGCGATTCCAGTACTAACCGCTCCAGTTGACTGGGTGATAACTGCGTACCAGGCAGGGTACAAAGCCCACTCTGCATGTTTCACCTGATCCCCACCGCAGCCCTCGGGGGTGGCTCCTGCTTGTAGACCCATTTCGCAGATAAGGCAACTGAGGTCTCGGTGAGCAGGAACCCCAGTGGGCTGCGTTAACCCTCACGCCACCCCACCTCACGCCTGTGCCCCGACTGTACCTGTGTGTATCGAGCACTCACCTTCAGGCGCCACCAGAATACGGGGACCCCTCCTGCTCCCTGCCCCTGCCAGAACTGACCGCAGCCCTGGCCCGTCTCCTCTCTCCTGTCACAGTGGTGGTGATGCCGGGCAGCGGAGCCCCCCGCCAGTCCAGCCTGCGGCTCTGGGGGCCCACGGCCATCTTCCTCTTGGCGTTGCAAAGATGATGAGAGCTGCCTGGCCCCACCCCGCCCCCGGCACACCAAAGTGTCCACATTGTACCAAAGACTGACCCCCACCAGCCGGGGTGCCCTGGGGCAGGGCCGGCCCGCCGGGGAGGGGCCTGCATTGCCTTCGAACAAGGACAGAGAATGAGGACCCGGCGCCGCACCGAGGCCCTGGAGACAGTTTGACACACGCACACACTCACACGTTCACACTCACACACAGAGATATATTAAAGCACAAGTTTCTATCCGACCTGCCAGCACCTTCTTTCCTACGGAGACAGGGGACTTGCTTGAATGGCGTCCGCCACCCAGGGACCTCGACACAACACTGGCCTCGTCCTACCTGCGTTTGAGGTGTGCTTCCGACCTTCCTCCTGTCCCCAGCTCAAGGCAGAGCTCCAGCCTGGTGGCCTGGCCGGAAGGGAGCCGGAAACGGGAGTCAGGAGACCCCCTCCTCTGGTCAGACTCTGGGACCCCCGCAGGAGGAGACAGGGGTCAGAGGAGGGCCAGGTGGGGCCCTGTGAGCTCCAGAGGACTGCAAGCAAGGTAGGGACCCTGCTGCGTACAACTGCTCCCCGAGGGAGGGCTGTGTGGCGGCATCCTCCGCCACCTCGGACCTCTGACCTTTTTCTGAGACACCGTGTCCTTCTCTTCGCTGTGCCCTCTGGAAGGGACCCAGCACAGGGTCACGGACCCGGGCGGTCTGAAGACGGACACCTCCCCCTGCCCCAGGAGCTGGGCTCCCAAGAACACAGTCCCTACCCTCACTCAGCCCCAAGCTGGGCTCCGAGGGGCCAGCGGTGGTGGACAGGCCGTTTTCGGGGTGGGACAGGGAGAAGTCCTGCTTCTGTGATTTCGTGCCCCCACACAGGAGTTGGGAGTGGAACTTCCGTCTCATATATTCGGCATGACCGGGTGCCCTGCGTCGGGGGAGAGGGCAGAGCACTGCCCAGCTGGCTATTCCCTCCACCCCCAGGGTCACTGAAGGAGCAGGGTATAGAGGCGGGGTGACAGAAGAGGTGATGAGTCCCCTTGTTCCCTGGAGCTGTTCCCTGTCCCTGGGTCCTAGTCAGGATGGCAGCTACAGGTCACCTCCTCAGTGCCAGCCCTCAGCTGCCCACCCGGCACCCATGGCAGAGGAGCCCCGTCCCTCCGTAATGAGTCTGTGCGTGTGTGTGTGTGTGTGTGTGTGTGCGTGTGCGTGCCCGTCTGTGTCTGCATACCATGAGGGCACATCTCTGAGCGGGAGCGTGCGTAAATAAAGGTCCGTGTGCACAATTAAACATGTCTGAGAGGCCGGCTCTGTACCGTCTCTGTGAGTGTTCATGTAAGTCAGCAAGCCTGTCCACCTTCACGAGTGACCTGTGTGTTTGTGGGGGACCGGCCATGGACACCACTTCTGGCCCTATTCTGTAGTCTCGAGCCGCTTTCCACAGCCTGAAATCCCACACCTATCAGCCATCCCCTGTGGGTGACAGGGGGCTTACAGATGACCCTATGGAATGCAGACACATCCGATGTGTGCCCAGGCTCCTTCAGGGCTTTTGCTGGGGACAGCTGCAGAGAGGCCTGGAACCCAGGCAGCACTGACGTGCCAGGAGGCAGGCGGGGAAACTGCCCAGCTCCCTGCTCTGCTAGGCCTGTGTTGTCATCGCCAAGAGCTGGTGGGTGGCCAGGCCAGGCTGCTGCGGGGTCTCCAAGGCTGGGTCTGAATGAGTCGCTCCAGGTTCCCAGCACACCTTCCATGGCAGCCATGCTGATTGTTCCTTAATTGTCCCATCTGTGCAGAGTCTGTTTCCCCAACTAGACTGTGAGCTCCTCCTCCTCCTCCCAGCCTCCCGATCCCTCTCTTCCTCCTCCCACTCCTGCCTGGCACAAGACAGCCTGGGATGGAAACTACCCAGCTTTGCCCAGAGGAATGGATTCCATAAAGCAATGGTCCTCGGCCCCGGCTGCAGAAGGAAACTACCACAGGGTTTTTAGAAAGCACCATTGCTTGGATCCCAGCCCAGGGGTTCTGATTTAATGGGACTGGAGCACAGCCTGGCATCAGAAATGCTGAAAAGCTTCTCAGGAGACCCGGAGGGAACCACTGGCCTCTTACCTTACCGGCAGCCTCTGGGCCCTTGCTGGGGCCAGGATTGGAGCACCAGAGAAACGGCCCCAAGTGCTTCCTCTTCGGGGCTCCTGTGGCACCCCATACCTGCTGCCCTGCAACTGTCCCTCACCATGGCTGCGTCCTCTCGGGGTCTCCTGCCCCATGCACCTGTGTCGGACGCGGGAAGTACACACGGCACAGACTGGCTGAGTGGAGCTGCATGTTAGTCCCCGTGCTCCCAGTCTACATGGTGAGAAGGGTCGCTCTCTGTGAGAGGACAGCCCTGCCCGGAGGGTGCTCGGCCTGGGGTGGTCCTGTGTTCGTGTCTGCTCACATCAGCCGGTGTGGGTGTGCGGTGTCTGTGCACGAGCGGTGCCCGGTGCCCGGCATGTGCCCATCTGTGTGAGTCTGTGTGCGTGCGTGCCGATGCTGCGAGGAATGCGTGTTTTCGTGCGTCCCTGGTGACGC